TACTTAACAGAGAGAACAGTGTTGGAGGAATATCAATACCAAACTTCAAACTCTACTACAAAGCCATATAAATTAAAACTGTTTTGTACTGGTACAAGAACAATGGAACAATAGAATAGAATTAAAAACCCAGAAATTAACCTACAGACCCATAATCATCTAATATTCAATAAAGGATCTAAAAAGATAAAATCAAAGAAAGACAGACTGCTCAGTAAATGGTACTGGCAAAATTGGTTAATCACTTGTAGAAAATTAAGGCTAGATCCTTATATATCACCCTATTCCAGAATCAACTCCAAATGGATCAAAGACCTCAGAGTCAAAGCAGACATTCTGAAAACATTACATGATGGAATAGGAGAAACCCTAGGTCTCTTTGACAAAGGCTGAAATTTTCTAAAAAGAAACCCAGAAGCACAACGAAGGAAAGAAAGGTTGGACAAATGGGATTGCATGCAATTGCAGAGCTTCTGCATGGCAAAGGACATAGCTAGCAGGATCAATAGAAAGCCCACGGAATCTGAGATGATCTTCACTAGCCATACAACCGACAAGGGATTCATATCTAAAATAGACCTGGAAAACAAAAAATTAAATCCTCCAACAACAAATACTCAACGAAAATACTGTCCAATAAATAAGTGGGCTAAAGACATAAAGAGAAACTTCTCTGAAGAGGAAAGGAGGGTGACCAATAAACACATACTCAACCTCCCTAGCCATAAAAGAAATGCAAATCAATCAACATTGAGATATCACCTCAAGTAAGTTAGAATGGCTATAATCAAGAACTCTAAAACCAACAGATGCTGGAGGGGATGTGGACAAAAGGGAACCTTAATGCATGTTTAGTGTGTGTGTAATCTTGTTCAACCACTTTGGAATGTAGTATGGAGATTCCTCCAAAGACTCCACATAGAGCTTCCCTATGACCCAGCAATCCCACTTTTGGGCATTTACCCAAATGATCACAAACAAGACCATACTAAAACTACCAGCACAAATATATTTATTGCAGCATTACCATAGCTAAGATATCGAACCAACCCAGATGCCCCTCAGTAGATGAATGGATGAAGAAAATGTTGTATATATACACAATGGAATTCTATATCTCTATCTGAAAGAATGATATTGCCCCAGGAAATGGAAACTTGGAAAAATTATATTAAGTGAAGAAAGCCAGGTCCAAAGAATCATAGGTCCCATGGTTTCACTTATTAGCAACTGCTAGTGTATGTCTGAGACACGCAGAAATTGTTAGATAAGTTGATGTTAGGTGAAATGAACCGCAAGATAAGAATTCAAATTTATTTTTATTTCCTGTAATTATTTCTAACATATTTATAAGATGATTTCTTTGTTACTTTGTATGTCCCACCCTCATGGTATAACCCCTGTTTTCACTGTATTTGATGTTGGTATAATTTGTGGAGGGGAAGGGAAAAACATTTTTAAATAGGGATACAGGTGGACCCATTGCAACAATGGGATATACAAAACATTATGTTGAAAAAACGAATTTTACAACTTTGGGTGGGGGGAAGTGGGATGGGGAAACGGGATGTAAGGGGGGTGAGATTGGAAGGGATGGTAAGGGGAAACAAAGGAGTATGCAACAATGCTTGATAAGAAATGTACTCATTACCTTGCCCATGTAATTGTAACCCCTCTGACTGGTATTTTCACACTTAATAAAAAAAAACAGGATAAACCATAAAATATAAAGTGATTTTGATAAAAAAAATAAAAAATTATTCAGAATAAATTATCAATAAAAAAACAATCTTTACAGAAGCAAACTCTCAGAGATATTACATGACTTTGTAAAGGATAAAGTGGCTGAATTTAATATAAGTTTAGAAGTATGACCATTCAAAAACATAAAAAGATATTCTTTATTTCATTATATAACCCAAAGCAGAAAGTAAATGTTGTTTAGATGATTTTTTAAAACACAGTCTTTCAGGTGCTGGGAGGGTGGTTCAGTGTAGAGTGCTTGCCTTGCATGCATGAGGTCCTGGGTTTGATTCCTCAGCACCACATAAGCAGAAAAAGATGGAAGAGTTGCTGTGACTCAAGTAGTAGCACTAGCCTTGAGCTGAGGAGCTGAAAGACAGCACCCAGGACCCAGAGTTCAAGCCCCACAACCAACAAAAACAAAACAAAACAAAACACAATCTCTCACTTTTGTGTGCTCAACGTTGTAACACTAGTGCTTCAGTCTAGGGCTAAGATTTTAGGTGTGGACATTTATCAACACTCCTGATTCAGATTCTAATTGATAAAATGTTTAATCAATGTTTTGTTTTTACTAATTTTGCTTTTTGTAAATTCACATTTACCTATAAAAAACAGAGTCTCCATCCCAATAACATTCTCAAAGTACTTCCTAATGATGACTTACAAAAAGTTGTATTATATTACAACAAGGAAAACAATGCTACAAATAAGGAAAACCAATACATAAATATTAATGATTAATAAAATAAAAAAACAAGAACTGAAAATGTGGAAAAGGCATAAAGGAAAGACAAAGTAATAAAATATAAACTGTGTCATACATTTAAGAAGCAGTAAATATACTTGGTATAACTTGGAGAATTTGAATAAAATTGGCTGAGGTTCATTTAAAAAAAAAAAAAAAACAAAACAAAACAATTACCACTGTTTCCAATATTTGAAATGTACTACATATTCTATTTATTATTTTCTCATATTGCTGTACATTTAAAACTGCCTAAGTCTATGATGTTAAACCAGAATTTTATAGGCTATCAATAGCCTTTAAAGTTACTCACTAAGATTATTATTTATGGTTCATCTCATCATTTGTATATGGCTTATACCATGATTTGTTCCTCGCTAACATATAAAGTAAGGAAGCCCTTAAATTTTAACAGAAACTGTGAAGGTAATGTCTTAAATCTTCACTCTGCTTCTTTACACAAACACTTTGCAACTTCTCATTAGTACAGTTTCTATAAACTCTGAAATGTACATACTTAGTAGTGTATGACTGCTACCATGAATCTTATATGCTTTGTGGAAAAGTTTTACAACCTGCTAAATAGTCTAAATTTTGGCATATATGAGCAAATTCCCAAAATTAAATATATTAAAAACATTAAAACTTTAAACAAACCTTAACACTTTCTATAGTGTTCATTATCACAGGTTCCTTGTACAGAATAATTGAATTCCTCCTCCAACACATGCGTTGAACAACAAATGTCTGGAATTATTTTGTTTTTGACATGTCAATCTTGACTTTATTCTTAAATGTGTTATTATGTAAAAAATACATGGTTCTAAAATTTCACCACAATTCTTTTGAATTTAATTTTTGTGGAATTGTCTACTTTAAGAAAATCAATTACACTTTATATATAAAAAATATTCTGTGCTCAATTCAGTAGTACATACACTAACATTGGAACAATAAAGAGAACAATAGCCCCTGACTGAGGATGACACGCAGGTTCGTGAAGCATTCCCGATTTTTAAAAGAACAGATGCTGGATAGGCTTTGGACAGAAGGGAATCTTAATGCATTTTTGTTGGGAGTTTAAACTTGTTCGAAGACTTTGGAAAGTAGTATGGAGGTTCTTCAAAAAACTACATAGAGTGCCTCTAAGACCCAGCAATCCCATTTTGGGCATTCATCCAAATGATCACAAACAAGGCCATACTAAAACTACCAGCAAAACTATGTTCATTGCAGCATTATTTACCATAGATAAGATACATAACCAAACCCGATGCCCCACAGTAAATGAATGGATCAAGAAAGTGTATGTATTTGTGTGTGTGTGTGTGTGTGTGTGTGTGTGTGTGTGTGTACTGCAATTCTATGCCTCCATCAGAAAGAATGGCATCACCCAGTTTGCTAGGAAATGGAAAGACTTGGCAAAAATTATATTAAGTTAATTAAGCCAGGCCCAAAGAAGTGAAGTAAGCCAGGCCCAAAAAGAAACATATATCCCATGGTTTCCTTATTTGCAATAACTACTATGTGTCTGAGACAAGCAGAAAACATCATATAACTTGATGTTAGGCAACATGAACCCCAAGGTAAGGATTCAAATGGTTTTTCTTTCTTGTGATTGTTTCTAACATATTTATAAGATGATTTCTTTGTTGCTTTGTATGTTTTTCCTGCAAGCTAAAGCCCCTGTTTTCAATGTATTTGATGTTGGTATAATTTGTGGAGGGGAAGAGAAACACAAATTGTTTAAATAGGGATGCAGGTGGACTCATTAAAATGAGATGAACAAGTCGTTATTTCAAAAAATGATTTTGGCCGGGGGGTGGAGGGATGTAGATGGTGAGGGGGCTGGGGTGGGGGAGGTTTGGCGGGGGTGGGGAGTGGGAGATGGGCAGGGATCGGAAGGGGAAAAAAGGAGAAGGCAACAATGCTTGATAAAAAATGGAATTCTATGCTTCCATCAGAAAGAATGACATTGTCCCATTTGTTAGGAAATGGAAAGACTTGGAAAAAATTATATTAAGTGAAGTAAGCCAGGCCCAAAGACACATAAGTCCCATGGTTTCCCTTATTTGCAATAACTAGTATATGTCTGAGTCAAGCAGGAAAGGTCAGATAAGTTAATGTTAGGGGAATGAACCCCAAGACAAGTATTCAAATGTATTTTGTTTTTTTTTTCTTTCAGGCAATTTTTCTCTAACATATTTATAAGACGATTTCTATGTTGCTTTTTATGTCCCTCCCACAAGGTATAACCCATGCTTTCACTGCATTTGATGTTGGTATAATTTGTGAAGGGGAAGGAAAAAAAAAACAATTCGTTTAACCAGGGATACAGGTGGACCCATTGCAACAATGAGATGTACAAGTTCTTATGTCAAAAAATGAACTTTACAACTTTGGGGGGAGGAGGACCGGGTGGGGGAAGTGGGGGAGTATGGGAAGGGGTGGGAAGGGGAAGCAAAGAGGAGGCAACAATGCTTGATAAGAAATATACTCGTTAGGGCGCCGAGCTTGATTCACCTTCACCCCTGCGGCGCGTCCGCCGAGCCTCAGGCGAATCCCGGCGAGCAGTAAACCATGAACGGGACAGTGGATTATTTGGTCACGGAGGAAGAAATCAGTCTTACTAGAGGACCCTTAGGGCTGGGCTTCAACATCGTCGGTGGGACAGATCAGCAGTATGTCTCCAATGACAGTGGCATCTACGTCAGCCGAATCAAAGAGAATGGGGCTGCAGCCCAGGATGGGCGGCTCCAGGAGGGTGATAAGATCCTCTCGGTAAATGGCCAAGACCTAAAGAACCTACTGCACCAGGATGCTGTGGACCTCTTTCGTAATGCAGGCTATGCTGTGTCCCTGAGAGTACAGCACCGGTTACAGGTGCAGAATGGACCTATAGGACATCGAGGTGAAGGGGAGCCAAATAGTATTCCTGTAGCTGTGATGCTGTTGCCAGTGTTTGCTCTCACTATGGTAGCAGCCTGGGCCTTCATGAAATACCGACAACTGCTTTGAAAGACTTGCTTCCTGCCAGTGCTCCCAGTGAACTTATGCTTCTCTTACCCTCCTTCCCTGCTGTTCTTCCATATCTTTCCCCCTTCTCTGCATAACCAACACATTATTGAAAGTGACTTGATTCCTACCTAGAACCTTGCTGTTCAAATCTCCAAATGTTTATATTCTGATGGGAGAGTAAAGATATTCTTTGAAGGAAAGCTGAACATAAGCTAAGACTTGTTTAGAACAAATGAGGAATTACATATTTTAATAGGACTGCCAATAAAAATTCAGCTACTATCCAAAGTGGGAACGATCCCGTCTTCCTGCCACCATGGATTACACAGTTGTTCTTAACTGGCATAGAAGGCCAGATTATTACATGAGAGGAAGAGGATTTTTTACTTAATGATCTTCCTTGGGAAGTGTTTGTGGCCTTTATTAATACTTTCTAACTACGTTCTTGAGTGCCTATATTGGACACAGGAGAATAAGAAGAGCTTTTTACTTTTTAAAAAAGCAAATGACAAGGTATACATACACACATTTGTATGTGACAGTATAATATTGATGCCTTATGGAGAATTAAAGAGGTGAGGAAACTGCTTTGGTTTCTGATCTAAGAGGTGATCCTAACTGAAGAACTTTTAAAGATCTGTTTTGTAGAGCATACATAGTGGGGATGAGGGAGCTTTTAAGAGGGTGCTCAAGAGTCAGAAAGGTAATTAGCAGAACATTTTTTTCATAATACCTATGATGATATTGAGGTAAATTATAAAATAGCTCTGTTCAAGTTGATTATTCAAAAAACTTTGAGCTATTCAGATAAATTTTGTCAAGCTCTGTGCTACCTGATGGCTTTTGTGGTGCCTCATTGTGACAGGATACCCTAGTGCTGAGATGGCTATGGCCAGGGCTGAAGTAATGGGGCCAAACCAAACCAGCAGACAACAAAAGAAAAGACTGAGCCTCAGGTGGCATCTGAATCCCTGTAGGCTTCTGACCATTCTCTGATTTCGAGCAGGATAGAGAAGAAATCAGCTCTGCTTCTCAGTTAAGCTGAAAAGGCCTGGATTACTATTTTTTCAAAGGCTCTAAATACTAGTTATGGTTTTTATTACTTAGTGAATAAACTTGTTTTTCTCAGAGGAAGGAAGGAAATGAGTTTTGTTTTAGGGAAGGGGGATTTGTTGGGTGTTTTCTGGGGAAGTCTGGGAAGGAGAATGCATGTGAATGGACTTTAGGAGATCCAGGGATGCTGGTGAGGTAGGAACCATCCTGTTCTTGTACTTAAGTTGGTTTTGAAGCACTGAGGATAGTTGAACCAAGACTAATTTTCTGGGTTTAAGAAAATCCTTTTTATCCTCAAAATAACGTGGCCAGATTGTATGGCTTACATATTTCAACCTAATATTGTCTAGACTATGCCTGAGGCAATCAGTTAGATCAATTTTTAGCATAGACAATCTAGCTGTTATTTAATAAATACTGATTGGACATGGGATTTGTCAAGACACTTTTGCAAACTTTCATCCCAAAAGTATGTTTTGTTCCAGTTGGGAGGAAACACTTTACATTGAATTGGCCAATAAATAGGGCATTGTAAGTCGGTGTCAAGTTTATATTACAGTCCGCAAAAAAGAAGTTTTTGAAAATTGGGGCACTTCCGTGGCAGAAGTATACAATGAAAAACAGGAGGTTGTAGTCAAGAGAATTCATAAAGTAAGTGAAAGTATATCATCAGGGTAAGTAATAATTAAAAATAGTATAAATGGTAACATGCAGAATACAATGCAGGAACAAGAAGATAGATGATCACCACCACAGTTTTTTAATTTAGAAAATAAAAACTATCACATAAGAGCATTGTTATAAGAGAAAAATGTTACCTCTGAGTCGACCGTTAGATAGGGAGAAACTTTTATAAACAACCGTGACACATTACCTTATGCGTTTCAACCTGAACTGGACAGTGGGTTTCTTGAGACTTGTTTAGATAGCAACTCATTGTAGAAATACCAACAGTATTCCAGTTCTTGTTTCAGCCAGCTCCATTGAAGGCTCAATCTTTGGTATGCTCCTTATATCTGATGGCATATGCAGCAGTTTCTGCCTTAAACCTGCTTACCTCCCAGGTTTGGACATTAAATTTTAAAAGACCTTGAGATATACAAAGCAAAGCAAATGACAAGCAGGAGGGAAAGCTATTTCCTCTTTTGTTTAGTCATATATATAAGCTGGAAAACACCTGTCTCATCATTGATAGAAACTTAGCTTTGGTTAATAATGGGGATTCTGATGCACTTAAATAATTTAGGTTTTCTTGAAAATTAAATCGCATTTAAAGACCAATATATTGAAGTTTTAGGCACATTGAAGTGTTATGTACCTTCTTTTGATTCTGTGGAAAACTAAAATTACAGATGAGGTATCTGAATCCATTACAGGTTGTAAAAGAATTCCTGTTCTTTATAGTTTGAATCTGATATTTGTACTACTTTATAGATTATATATAATGTTCCTACCACCTAAATTATAATGTTGAGTTTTGAAAATTGAATGTAGGTATTTTAAGATCCTATACTTAATACACTTCTTATATTTATCATTATGTATTATATATAATTCTAATAAAATATTGTTTGCTTAAAAAAAAAAAAAAAAAGAAATATACTCGTTATCTTGCCCATGTAATTGTAACTCCTCTGTCAGTATTCTCACAATAAAAAAAAAAAAGAAATGCACTCAATAACTCGCCCATGTAATTGTAACCCCTCGGTATGGTATTTTCACAATAAAAAAAGAAACATAGGTCCTATGGTATCCCTTATTTGCAATAGCGAATGTATGTCTGGGATAAGCAAAGAAGGCATGGTAAGGCGAAAAAAAGGAGGAGGCAACAATGCTTGATAAGAAATGTACACATTACCTTTTCCACGTAATTGTAACTCCTCTGTATGGTATTTTCACAATTAAAAAAAAAAGAAAAGGTCAAAAGCAAGTGCATATGACTAGATAAGATGATGTTAAGGTAAATGAACCCCATGATAGGGACACAAGTGGTTTTTTATTTCTTTCTGTTGTTTCTAATATATTTATAACGTATGATGTGATTTTTTTATATGTGCGCCCCCCACAGTTAAACCCCTGTTTTCACTGTATCTGATGTTGGTGCACCTCCATCTTCTATATACATTTTTCTAATTTGGGGATGGAAAGGGAAAAAACAAAATGCTTAAATAAGGATACAGTATGACCCATTGCAATAATGTGATGCACAAGACAGTATGGTGAAAAACGAACTTTACAATTTAGGCGGGGTGGGAGGAGGGGAGTGTACTTGTGGAGGTGAGAGGGAAGGGATGGTGGGGGAAAACAAAGGAGGAGGTAACAATGTTTGATAGGAAATATACTCATTACCTTTTTTATTAACTGTAACCACTATGTACAGTACTTTTACAATAAAAAAACATAAAAATATTCTTGGATGGAAGAGAATATTTCCCCTATTTTACCCATTTAATATCATTAACAAAGAAATTAATGCAAAACACTGATATGAAGATATTTTGAATAAATGTGTGTGTGTATGTATGTATGTACGTATGTATGTATATATGTGCGTGCCTGCTCATTTTCGTTCTCAGAGTTAGAATTCAGTGCATCAAGTTCTCCCTAGGCCATTCCTCTCTAGATTGATGAGCTACTATATAAGCTAAATCTCCATTCTTGGCTCTTTGCTAGTTCATTAATTTTTTTAAAAAAATAATTTCATGAATATTTTTTGTCCTGATTGGCTTCCAAGGGTTATCCACAGATCTCAGGTTCCTGAGCACATACCCGAGTAGACAGGATTACAGGTGTGACCAACCATCACAAGGCTTTCAGAATAATTTAAAAAGTAGAAGAAAATTTACTTCATAAAGGCTTGTTTATCATCTCCTGCTTTTAAAGCATTTTGGAGTGATTATATGTGAATTTATTTCATTTTTGGATTCTTAAAAGGCAGTAAGTGATAGTATGTAAAAGTTTTAATCCTTTTTTTTTATGGGTCATGTGGCTTGAACTCTGGGCTTGGGCGCTGTCCCTGTGCCTTTCAGCTGAAGGCCAGTGCTCTACCCCTTGAACCACAGTGCCACTTCTGCTTTCCTAGTGGTTTATTGGATATGAGAGTATCACAGACTTTCCAGCCTGGGCTGGCTTTAAAGCGCAATCCTCAGATCTCAGCTTCCTCTGTAGCCAGGATTATAGGTGTTAGCCACCAGCTACCGGCTAGTTTTAGTACTTTTTAAAACGTATACTGGAACTGTGGAACAGAAGAAATTTGTCTCTCTTTAGACCTCAATTTATGAGCTCAACTCTGAGCATAACCCAATGTCACCAATACAGTCCGTGTTGAAGACAAAATGTGACAGAAAACAATTACCGTGGGCAATAATTGCTATCTTGGACAACATGAATATTGAATTGAGAGTGTAAGGGAATGGAGAGGATTTTACCTATTTTTTTATTGCTGACTTTTGGAAATTTTGACTCATTTCCTTCCCCACTGTGTGTCTTTGCGTCATACACTTAGTGCCTTTAATTACAATATTTCCTAACACTAAAATGGTAATAATATTAGAATTATAGCAAATGTTTTCTTAAGAATTAAGAGAAATAAAACTTGTGAAATACTTGACATAAACTTCTAGGAATGAGCTTACAATTACATGGGCAATATAATGAGTATATTTCTTATCAAGCACTGTTGCCTCCTTCTTTGCTTCCTGTTTCCATCCCTTCCCATCTCCCCACACCCCCCCTCCCACCCCCCCTCCCACCACCCCCCCCACCAAAGATGTAAAGTTCGTTTTTCGACATAAGGACTTGTTTCATCTCATTATTGCAATGAATCCACCTGCATCCCTATTTAAACAATTTGTTTTTTCCCTTCCCCTCCACAACTTATACCAACATCAAATACAGTGAAAGCATGGGTTATACCATGGGGGACGGACATACAAATCAACAAAGAA